ACTAAACTCTAATTTAACTTTAGAATAAGATTGGCCTTATAATAACAGGAAGCGTATGTAGCACAGAGACTGTGAACACTACAATACGTTTAATTTATCAAGAGGATTAAAACCTCTGGCCTGGAAGGCAAATAGCAACTGCGTAACTTCTAAGGTAAGCGGCCTGCTTCGAACTCACTGCTTCCTCTCTTCTGCTTGGTAAAAAGGCCACACTTAAATACTTGGCGTTCGCCAGACAACTTTGCATAAACTCCTTCACGCTTATAATTCTGGCCGGAAGTAGAAAATAAGAAGTGATAGTAAAGATTTAAAATTAAAATAAACGTTAGTAAAACTTAAGATCCTTACAATACCAGTGCAGGAAATGCTGCCAAATGATCTGGAGGCGGGATTGCTCTAAAGAGTTGCATAAGTGCGGAACCACCAAATGTCCGTCTTGCGGCCAGTTTGTCGTGGCTGCTGAGCACCGTTGTTATTTGCGACATGTTGCTCCGAAGAAGTCCGAAGATAAGCTCATCTTCTTTGACTTCGAAATGGATCAGTCTTCGGGGGAGCATCTCGTAAATTTCGCGGTGGCTCAGTATGCCTACGGCACAGAAAAAGTGTTTCTGGGATGCGGCATGTCAAGATTTCTGTGCCTGGCTGTTCTCTACACAGCACAAGGGCTTCACCTCCGTGGCTCATAACATGAAAGGGTAAGTTAAAAATACCATAGTTTGCATGATTGAGTTTTCACGACTATTCTTTCAATATTATTCATATTTTTTTTTACTTACAGGTTCGACGGACAGTTCATGATGGCCTGGATCCTGGAGCAAGGCACAGCGCCGGAGGTGATCTCTAACGGGTCTATGATCATGTGTTTAAGACACTCTAGTCTGAACATTCGGGTCATAGACTCGTTAAATTTTCTACCGATGGCGTTGGCCAAGCTACCGGGATGCTTCGGTCTCACCGAATTAAAAAAGGGATACTTTCCCCATCTTTTCAACTCCCGAGAAAACCAGAGTTATGTCAGACCGTTGCCTGAGGCTTGGTACTACAGCCCGAACACCATGAGTACTCCAGCCCGAAAGGCATTTCTATCCTGGCACGAAGAACGCAAGGGGGATGTGTTTAACTTCCAGCAGAGATGCTGGCCTATTGCAGGTATATTTTTTCCCTCCTTTATTCTTATTTATTTAATATTTTGTTTTATTCTTATATTTTATATTTCGTATTTTTAACATTTTTTCTTTTAATAGTGTAAGGATCCTAAGTTTTACTAATGTTTATTTTATTTTAAATCTTTACTATCACTTCTTATTTTCTACTTCCGGCAGAATTAAAAGCTTTAACTTATTTATGCAAATTTGTCTTGCTTACGCCAAGTACTGAAGTTGTGGCTTTTTGCCAAGCAAGAGAGAGGAAGAAGTTATTAGAAACAGGCCGCTTGCCGTAGTAGTTTTACTCGGTTGCTGGTTGCCTTCAAGGCCAGAGGTTTAGTCCACTTGATAATCTGAAACGTATCGTAGTTTTAGCAGCTCTCTGTACTACATACGGATTTTTGTTAAATAACGGCCAATCTTAAAGTCAGGCACTTGTATATTAATCCAAAGTTAGTTTAGTTAGAGTTTTAGTTAATAATTTTATATTCTTACGTTCAGACCACAAGTGGTTGGTCTCTGTATTCCGAAGTCCGGAAATCTTTGTAAAGATAGAAAAATAAAGGGTTTCGTACACCCTTCCTGTGTGTATTGTCTACTTCACAAATTATTGCACATAGCTTGAGTAAGCTCCCTGTTCCGAGTCAGGAGAGTTCATGTTTCCAAAGCAAGTAAAGAGGAATACAAGTCCTGATAATAGATCGGACGTGAACATTCTTCGTCGCTGTTGCCTAGAGTTTCGAGCCCAGTTTTTGGATGTGGCGGGTGTGGATCCATACCAGTAAGTCATTTTCTTAATTCTTTTATACAGTAATGATCATGTTTACAGGTATATTCTTATAGAATAATCATGCTCATAAAGTTGTTTTTTCTTTTCAGTTACGTGACCATTGCGTCGGTTTGTATGGCAACATATCGGAGTGGCCACATTCAGCCTAACACGATTGCATGGTATCCACACACGGCTACGTCAACTCCACGAATTACAGCTCTGATTCGATCCGGTGTTTGGACTTTGTTGCTGTTTCGGAAGGCATTGCCATTCAACATGCGTTGAATGGTTCCGGAGAGCACAGAATCGCCGGAATCTCGGTAGACGGTTTCTGCCAAGCAACGCAAACCGTCTATCAGTTTCAGGTAAGAAAATATAACCATTCCTTTTCTATGTGATTCTTTTTAGTGATTTATATGTTAAAGACTATTAATATATATTTGTATTATTTTAGGGTTGTTTCTTTCACTGATGTAGTTCGTGCTACGATGGTGAAATCATACATCCACTGAAAGGGGTTTCCATGGCAACGTTAAGAGAAAAGACAGAAGAGACGACAAGAAAGCTTCGCACCCAGGTTTCCACATCATCGAAATGTGGGAGCATGAATTTCAAAGAGAGAAGGAGGAAAATCCAGATCTCCAAGCTTTCCTGGATTAACACCATCTGAGGGACCGGCTCAATCCTCGCGAGTCATTTTTCGGAGGACGGACCAATGCCCTCAAATTGTTCCACGAGGGAGACGCTAAATATGTGGATTTCACATCCCTCTATCCATGGGTTCGTACTTTTTTTATCATTTTAAAACCCTTTCATGGATGATGTGTTTTCTGATTTTTATGTATGCTTTTATGATGTGTTTTTCTGACTTTTTGTTTTATTTCACAGGTGAACAAATACTGCGTCTACCCCGTGGGACATCCGGAAATCATCACAGAAAGCTTCGGGGATCTAGAAAACTACTTTGGACTCGTTCAATGTCGTGTGATTCCTCCACGGAACCTTTATCTTCCGGTACTTCCATACCGATGCCGGAAGAAACTCATGTTTTCCCTGTGTCGAACCTGCGCCCTTCATCAAATGCAAGCTCCGTGTACCCACACAGACGACGAGCGAGCTCTTGTCGGAACTAAGTACATCATGTCTCAATAACATAAACATTATACGTGTAATAAACCTTAAACATATTAAAAATATATTTCATAAAACACAGTTAAACCTACCTTTTTAGGTAAAAATGCATCAGTAGTAGTATTATTGGGGATTGAAGAAACTGAAGTATTGGCCATTTTAAACATAAAAATGGAAGCAAGCAACCAGCGCACAATCGTAAAACTAGTTTACAAGGTACAGTAATATTGATTTTGGAAGATATGAATTATATATGCTATAACTACGGATCTTGAAATCCCTTAAATCACCAATCAGACAATATGGATCAAAAATCAATATTGTTTAACCAATCAAATGCTTTCCATTTACTAATACATATGGAACATTCTAGAACATTCATTATCATGTGATTTCATCCTTCTCTAATTAGCTTATCAGATCTATTTCGATAACATCATGTTTTCTGGATGACGCCAATCACCTTAGCAAAATTACTCAATTAAGGTTAAACAAGCAGACTGCTTACTAAGATAATAAGCGCATAATTAGGCAAGGAATGATCTTTCATTTAGAATTAAACATATGCATGTTATTAATCGCTAAGAACTCAAATGAACGTTTAACAAGTTTAACGCTTTTTATAGCTTTAAACACTGTTTCAAAATAGAAAAGCACTCCAAAATGTTTATACAAAATCACATTATCCCCATATAGTTTTCAAAAGTTTAACCGAATTCTTATTAGTAGGTTTATCAACAACAAATTGTTTTAACCAATGAGGAAAGGTATTTTAATGTTTTCCTAAATTTACCACAATTACCCAGTTCCCTAATTTATGAAATAAGCAACATTGAAAATAATAAGTGTTGAAACATCACTATTTTAGAATTTACGAGGAGATATTCAATAATGAGAGCGAAAATATACTGAACTTCATGCAAGATTTTTATCATTTCATACCAAACATTTCACTATTTCGTAGATTCTTAGAATATATCCCATTTGTTTTTCAAAGAATATATAACATTTCGCATTAATTAGGTAATGCCATGCGAGTTTAACTGCAAATGTTTACTGAATGATACTAAAACTTTCAAAGAAAAAATCAAATATTTTATCATCTTTCATGAACATTTGTGAATAATAACGACATGTCATAGAAGTTTGAAGACTTTACATGCTACGAGCCATGTTCTAAACTTTGAAACTGAATGATACTGAACTTTGAAAAATAATTCACATGGATTCCGTAATCGTCAAAAACGGATATTTCCGTTAAAATATGATACCCAAAAGTTTTCTCGATTACAATAATTACTACCATTTTATTTGATACAAGGAAGTAAAGAACCTATATTAACCTACATATTCTTATATAAACAATACCTAAGTGCAGTATATAAATATTTCAAATCAATAAAATCTGACTATGGCACACTCAAGGGAAAAAAAAAAAAAAAAGATGAATCATCTAAATTTTCAAATTACAAACATAAATAGCAATAGTAAAAAGCAAATACAAAATAACGCTTCACGCTATCAAAATTGCTCATTTTCTTAAATATCAACAACTAAATAGTATTTCAACTAAAACACATAATGTAAACAAGAGTTTGCCCGATGCCCAAAAAAATTCAAAATTATCTATGAAAAATATGAGCGCATTGTGACGCAACCGTATCATTCGTATTCGAACAGCAACTGCATCATTCGTATTCGCATAGAAACCGCATCATTCGTATTCGCATAGAAACCGCATCATTCGTATTCGTATAGCAACCGCATCATTCGTACTCTAACAAACCGCATCGTACGACAGATGCGAGTAACGAAATGAATTTGTGAGTACCGAATCGGTACTTCGAGTCAACCGATGTACCCGTTACTCAGTAACGAATACATGCGGTTTGCTCCAGCTCTAGTTGCAATCATTTCTACTCTGATTCTTGCTGAGTGAACGTCATTTTGACTCTGCCATTTTCCTGCGCCATTTCGTTTTCTTGTACACGATGTCTGCCAAGCGAGTTTATTCTGCATCTAATGTAAGTATATTTATTGCTTCTATTTAGTTTTAGATTACTATTTTTAAACACGAATTTTTTTAATGTGTTATTTATTCTATTTTTTTAATTGTTAGGTATTTTGAGGATCCCGATTGTCCTTTCCACGATTCGGATGACGATGTAAGTTTTTACACGTATTTTCGTAGCGTATTTTTTTTTTTTTTTCTGAATGTATTTTAAACGTATTTTATTTTATTTTGATAGTTAATTGATGAAGTTGATCAAATATTCATGGAAAATCCCCTGGTTCTGCCCTTGTATTATCAAGTGGGTTCCGGATTTGAGGTAAATTTTCGTTTCGTTATGATTCTGTTAGAATATTTTTTTCTTAGTACTAGAAATGAATGTATTTATTTTTATTTATTTATTTTTAGACTTCTTCAGCATCAGCTCGTGGCCCTATGTATATGGCTGGTTCCGATGAACGATCGGGGTGTATTTATATTTTTATAATACTGTTTTTTTTTTTTTAAAAGTGTTTGATTATTACCGAGAACTTATCTTTCTTTTTTCTTTTCAGATCGATGAGGCGATAGTGCTTACTCAAAAGTCTCGTCGACGGAACCATAAATATCAAGCCGAGGAAATAAATTTCCGAGCCAGTGTGGACATTGAACGGTTGCCTCTGAATGTGCAAGGCATTCCGATGGTCCGAATTCTAGATACCGTCCGGGAGTTGTTCGAGCAGTTGATTCGCCGGACAACAGCTAATCTGGGTCCCTCGGACCTCATCCGGTTTTGCATTCAAGCTGAAGGGTTGGATAAGCCGATTAGCACGTCCCTGATGGCAGTTTCGACTTTAACAGTTGAAAAGATTCTGACTGCCGTGATGAAAGTGCTACAATCCAAAGACAAAATCGAGCTAGACACAGGATTCTCGGTGGATGTGATCACCATAAAACGCCCTGTGGGTGCCGGTGGAAACAGAAAAGTGATCAACATTTCCATGGACAGACTGAGAAAACAGTCTATTTTGCCTATTCCCTATGACGACGAAGGATTGTGTTGCGCTAAAGCAATTGTGTATGCGTTGGCACATCTGAATGATTACAAAGCTGCTATTAAGGCCATGAAAGATCGTCGTCGACCAGCCCTTGTGAAACATGCCAAGGAACTTCATATGGCTGCGAATGTTCCTTTAGGCCCCTGCACGTTTGCGGAGATAGCCATATTTGAAGATCACCTGGACGTCCAAATTGCCGTCATTTCTTCGGAAAACTTGAACCGAGTAAGTCATTATTTTTATCTCAAGATATTTCTGTTTTTTAAATGTTCATACTTACAAATATTTTTTCTATATGTTTTCATATCGTAACTTGATTTTAGTTCTTTTATAATTTGTGGCTATATGATAAAAATTTATTTGGGTACATGAATAATTTTTAAAAAAATACTTTTTAAAATTACTTTTAAAAAATATCAGTTTTTAACGCACTGAAAAATTAAATTACTAGCAGAGTTTATGATCATTTCGTTGTTTCCATGTTAAAAAATATAACTTGTAAACATTAAATGCGTAGTGAAATTTTAGATTAACTTTATGCCTATATACAATTTGTTTCGATGTTAAAATATAATGGATGAAAACTGAACGCAGGGTGAATTTTTATTTTTAGATAACTTTAACTTTTTAAAATACTTTAAATTCGTTTCTACATTAAAAAATATAATGGGCGAAAACTGAATGTTTTCTTTTTTAAATTTTTCGATTTTCGAATTTATTTTTAGAGAAAAGTTTTTCATTTAGAAGTTTAAAATAGAACGTGAATCTTTATTTTTTAAATTACTTTAGATTTTTACATTAACTTTATGTTTTTTATGCATGTTCGCATAAATTGCATACATGTATGCAATTCGTTTAGATGCTAAAAACATAACTTGAAAAATTTTTAGATTAATTTTACTTTTAAGATAAAATTTATATTTTATGCATGCATTTCTTTAGACGCTAAAAATATGTCTTACAAAAATGCATGGTGAAGTTTTGAATTGCTCTAAATTTTAAGATTATATTTTAAGCATGAATGTATGCAGTTCGATTCGATGTTAAAAAATATGACTTGTAAAAATTAAACGCATGGTGAAATCTTTAGATTCATTTTATGCATGCACACGATTCGTTAAGATGTTATAAATGCACAGAGAATTTTTAGATGATTATGTATGCAATTCGTTTCCATGTTAAAATGTCTAAATAGTTTGATTTTTGAAATTTAAGAGAAAACGTTTGTATTTCTGTGTTTTAGGTGGTCTATAAAGGAAGAGAGAGGTCTCAGCGGATCAACTTATGGCTTCACGATGGACATTATGATGTCATTAAGTCATTATGTCAAAGGGTTTTTGCTAGCAACCATTATTGCACAGCATGTGAAAAGCATACGATCACCCGGAACGCCATCGATGTGGCAATGCATGCCCTATATGCCTAAGGACTGATTGCTTTTCAGGCCAGCCTCAGCGATGCCAGGATTGTGACCGCTCTGCCGCTCCGATGCCTGTAATGCAGCACACAAAGCCCTCACTGGAAAACAAGAATTTTCACTTTGCGACAGGGTAAGTGTTTTTTGAAAATTTATCTTAACAAAGTTAATTATCATATAATTTTCTCAAAATGGTAGTGTTTAAAAAAAAAATTTGTCGTTACAGGTATACCAGTGCAGGGAATGCTGCCAAGTGATCCGGAGGCGGGATTGCCCTAAAGAGTTGCATAAGTGCGGAACCACCAAGTGTCCGTCTTGCGGCCAGTTTGTCGTGGCTGCTGAGCACCGTTGTTATTTGCGACGTGTTGCTCCGAAGAAGTCCGATGACAAGCTCATCTTCTTTGACTTCGAAACGGATCAGTCTTCGGGGGAACACCTCGTAAATTTCGCGGTGGCTCAGTATGCCGACGGCACAGAAAAAGTGTTTCCGGGCTACACGGCATGTCAAAACTTTTGCGCCTGGCTGTTCTCCACAGATCACAAGGGCTTCACTGCCGTGGCTCATAACATGAAAGGGTAAGTTAAAAATACCATAGTTTGCATGCTTTTTAAGTACGACTATTTTTTCAATATTATTCATAATTTTTTTTTACTTACAGGTTCGACGGACAGTTCGTGATGGCCTGGCTCCTGGAGCAAGGCACAGCGCCGGAGGTGATCCCTAACGGGTCTATGATCATGTGTTTAAGACACCCTAGTCTGAACATTCGGGTCATAGACTCGTTAAATTTTCTACCGATGGCGTTGGCCAAACTGCCGGGATGCTTCGGCCTCAGCGAGTTGAAGAAAGGATACTTCCCGCATCTCTTTCAACTCCCGAGAAAACCAGAGTTATGTCGGAACGCTACCGGAGCCCCACTATTACAGCCCGGACACCATGAGTACTCCAGCGCGAAAAGCATTTCTATCCTGGCACGAAGAACACAAGGGGGATGTATTTAACTTCCAAGCAGAGATGCTGGCCTATTGCAGGTATATTTTTTCCCTCCTTAATTCTTATTTATTTAAGATTTTGTTTTATTCGTATATTTTATGTTTCGTATTGTTTTAACATTTTTTTCTTTTAATAGATCGGACGTGGATATTCTTCGTCGTTGCTGCCTGGAATTTCGAGCCCAGTTTTTGGATGTGGCGGGTGTGGATCCATTCCAGTAAGTTATTTTCTTAATTCTTTTATACAATAATGATCATGTTTACAGTTATGTTCTTATAGAATAATCATGCTCATGAAGTTGTTCTTTTTTCTTTTCAGATACGTGACCATTGCGTCAGCCTGTATGGCAACGTATCGGAGTGGCCACATTCAGCCCGACACGATTGCCATGGTGCCCACACACGGCTACGTCAACTCAACGAATTACAGCCCTGATTCGATCCGGTGGTTGGACTTTGTTGCTGCTTCGGAAAGCATTGCCATTCAACATGCGTTGAACGGTTCCGGAGAGCACAGAATCGCCGGAATCTCGGTAGACGGTTTCTGCCAAGCAACACAAACCGTCTATCAGTTTCAGGTAAGAAAATATAACCATTCTTTTTCTATGTGATTCTTTTGAATGATTTTACACTTTTAATGTTAATTTACATGTGAACGAACACTATTAATATATTTGTATTATTTTAGGGCTGTGTTCTTTCCATGGGTGTAGTTCGTGCTATGACGGGTGATGTCATTCATCCACTAAAAGGGGTTTCCATGGCAACCTTGAGGGAGAAAACAGAGGACACCACACGAAAACTTCGAGCCCAGGGTTTCCACGTCATAGAAATGTGGGAGCATGAGTTTCAGAGAGAAAAAGAGGAAAATCCAGATCTCCAAGCTTTCCTGGATCAACACCATCTGAGGGACCGGCTCAATCCTCGCGAGTCATTTTTTGGAGGAAGGACCAATGCCCTCAAATTGTTCCACGAGGGAGACGCAAAATATGTGGATTTTACTTCACTCTATCCATGGGTTCGTACTTTTTATTATTTCAAAAATGTTTACTTAAACTTTTCTGAATTTTCTGTATATTTTTATGATGTGTTTTTTCTGACTTTTTTTTTGTTTTCATTCACATTGCGTCTACCCTGTGGGACATCCAACAATCATCACGGAAAGCTTTGGAGATGTGGAAGATTATTTTGGAATTATCCAGTGGCGAGTGATTCCTCCACGGAATCTGTATCTTCCAGTACTGCCCTATCGGTGCCGGAAGAAGCTGATGTTCCCCCTGTGTCGGACTTGCGCCCTTCTTCAACTGCAGACTCCGTGTACCCACACAGACGACGAGCGAGCTCTTGTCGGAACGTGGGTAACGGAGGAAGTCAAACTGGCGAAAAAGAAAGGCTACCGCATCACACATGTAAGTACTCAAAGATTATTTTAATCTTTATTTAGTTTCAAGGTTACTTTTAAAATTTTTTTATAACTGACATTTATTTTTTATTTTCTAGATTTACGAGTGTACATTTCCAGCATCGTCTACTTCTTGTTTATTCCTAAATTGATTTTTTTGAAGATTTTTTTCACACATGTAAGTACTCAAGATTATTTTAATCTTTTATTTCAATTACTTTTAAAAATTTTTATAACTGACATTTATTTTTATTTCTAGATTTACGAAGTGTACCATTTCCAGGCATCGTCTACTTCTCTGTTTCGTTCCTACATTGATCTGTTTCTGAAGATCAAGCAGGAAAGTAGCGGATGGCCTTCGGAGTGTGTGACGGAAGAAGCCAGACTGAAGTACATTCGCCAGTATGAAGAAAGAGAGGGCGTCAAGTTGGAGGCCGAAAAAATATCGAAAAACCCTGGGCGTCGACAAGTCGCCAAGTTGGCCCTGAACAGTTTCTGGGGCAGGTAAGATGATTTCTTTTGTACTTAATTTTTTATAAATATTTTTAATTCGTTGTGATTTATGATAGCTTTTTTCCCTCAGATGGGGTATGAACGTGAACAAAGCCCAACTGACCTATGTCCACACGGTGCCAGACTTCAATAAGATGTTGGCGGATCCTACTAAAAAAGTAAGTTTTCCTTACCGATTTTATTCATCTGTAAACTCAATGTGTTTCAAACTGTTAACTTATGACTATTTTGAACTGTTACTCATGACTCTTCTATTTTTTCAGATCAAAGATGTCTTTCTTCCCACGCCTGAGGTGGCTGCCATTTCCTGGGAATCTGCGAAGGAGTTTGTGCCGCAGGATGCCTCTACCAACATTTTCCTAGCGACCTTCACAACAGCTTGGGCTCGTCTCAAGCTGTATAGTGAAATGGAGAAGTTGGGTAGAGATGTCCTGTACCACGACACAGACTCCATCATCTATGCCTCGAATGGCCGCAATGATCCCCCCTTGGGCAACTTCCTGGGTGAATTTACGGATGAACTGGAGGGTGATGTCATCAAAACCTTTGTCTCTGGTAAGGACCTTTAAAAAAATTTCTTTATTTAACATGTACCAAAAATCTTGAAAGTTTTTCTGTTATGTCTTTTTCTCACCATGTTTTATTTTTTTTTTTTTTTTTTCAGGAGGTCCGAAAAACTATGCGTACCAGACGGCCACTGGGAAAACCTGCTGCAAAGTCAGAGGATTTTCGTTGAACTTTCGGCAATTCCCAGTTGCTGAATTTTGAAGCCATCAAAAGTCTGGTCTGCAGTCTCGAACCAAAAGTGATGATCATCTCTCTCCACAACCCCTCCAAAATCACCCGTGAACCAAAAAGAAGAAAGGTCATCAATAAACCAGAAACAAGACTATACAAAATTGTGCTCGACAAACGAGTGATACAGAAAGACTTGAGCACCTTACCATTTGGATTTTAAAAGAAAGACTATGAACTATATTATAATAGGCTTGTACAAAAAAAATGTTTGCATGTAAAATATACATTATGATACATCCAGTATCTGTAAATGAACGTAAAATAAAATAGAAGTTTGAATGATAAAATAATGGTGTTTTTTCTTTTTTCCTTTGGAAAAGATGCCATGAAAGGTAAGTTTTTTTTAAATATTTTTTTTTAGAAAATAATGGTTATGATTATGTATATATTAGTTTAATCAGAAAAAAATGATTTTATATATTAACTTCATCAAAGAAAAACATAACACAAATAATCAGAAATTAACTTTTATTATGAACATTTCATTACAATTTCAGCCATAGTTTCGAAGAGGATTTTCTTTTAGGTCTAGCATACATAGTTTTTACATTCATTAAATGTTTGTTTTTCACAAAGTCTTGAGGAAAGTTGTTAACATTCAGTACATTTTTAAACTGTTCAAAGGCAAAAGGTTTTTGAGTTCTATTTCTCAACAGAAAGTTTATCAACTGAACAATGTCAGAGCCAGAAAACTCATGACCATCCAGAATGAGTTCTTTATTCTGTGTCCATGAAATCTGATGCTCTTTAAGAAAATCTATTATTTTCTGTGCCGTTCTTCTCTGTTTCACAGGAACTGTTTGCATAATTTCCTTTTCTATATCTTTCTCAGAAAGTTGTTCAGGCGGTTGTTCTTCGGAAGTGTTCACATGAGGAAATGTAACATACTTTTGCAGAACCTGGATGTACAATTTAGATTTTTCTTCATCGTCCATTTTCTTTTTTAAGATGTTTTGAATTTGGGTATCTAAATCACTCAAATGTTCATCTTCAAATTGCTGCATACGATCCAGGGGTACCAAGGCAAATTTCTTACTGTGTTCCATGGATAAGAGAGGATAAGACACTGACTGCTGCAGGAATCAGGAAAGATAAAACCGTCACCTTTTTGAAGTAAAAAAAACTTACGGAGATAACGTCAGACCGCCGCATTCCGTTTCTGAGTCTAGAGGTATTAATTCTGCAATTCGCGGCAAAACTGACTCAACACCTCAACATTAAAGTCAGCATTTAAAAACACCTTCTCTCGACATCAAACGAATAGTTGGAGGACATGAAATCGTGATATAAAGACCTCTTCCTTTAGATGGGGGCGGGAGGCAGAAAGACGAAAGACTAAACATTTTTTATTTTTTGGACCCATGCAGTTGGCTGGTCATAGAAAAAAATGAACGATCACCAACAATCTTTCTTAAGCAGTCAGTCAGTATTATTAGCCAGTAAATATCCTGTAAAACGTAAACCTCAGTCCCATTGAACGTGATGGCAGACATTTGACATGTAATACAGAACATTAGTAAATAATGAAAAGCTTAGAAAATTTTGGTTTACATATTCTAAAAACAAGAATCCAATTTTTCGTACACCCTGCAAGATTTATCAAAAACATGGTGCTGCCGCTACACCTACGGGATTCATTAATTGGAAAAAATTTTAGCAAGATTAACTGAGCATGAAAGGTCTGGAATCCACAGAGGTGCATGATTATGTGCAAAATTCAAGTACAGCAAATGAAATTGTTCCAAGGCGTTGACCACGACACTGAGCAACTCATTCACACAGAGAAAGAAAAGTGGAGAAAAATTCTATACAATCATGAATGCGGTACTGTATCTTTCAACAAACTATCGTTCTTTTTTTTGGATCTGATGAAATCCCAAGTAGCCTGTTCACAAAGTGTCCTCGACCTAGCGAAGGAAATTTTATGAATTTAAAATCTCTTCGCTTGCCAAACATAATTCAACTCTTAAGTACCAGTCAAAGCACCTAGCAAAGGCAAAGGAATCATATTTATCAAAGATAATTCAATATGAAGTTATTAACTTAAAGATAAAACAGTCTGAAGTACGTAGCATTTTAAACGATATTAAAAAGCCAAATACTACACAATAATGCTCGATTGCACTCAATATGTGTCTCATACAGATAAAAATGAACCAGGTGATTTAATATGTAAAAACGTGTGGTGATGTGTGTGAGATAAAGGAAAATTTAATTTATTCCATAGAAGTTGGTGGAAAGATGGAAGAATGTATTTCTGAACGCATTGTAGAAAATTAGTGTCTTAATTGACACTTGATGGTTTAGACATTGGACAATGTCGGTGTCAATCTTACGACAACGGGTCTAATATGGCTGGCATTTCTAAAACAGTACAAGCTAGAATTACAGAAATGAATAAGCTGAAGGAATTTTTGCCTTGTTTAGCTCACTCCTCGTATCTTGTCAGTGTGCATTCTTCTCCTTCGTGCCCGAAAGCTATTAATCTGTTTGGAATTACTCAGAAAATACTTCGATTTTTGGGGGATGCACTACTCGATGGTATATTATGAAAAAATGTACAAAATACAACTTTAAAGGAAGCAGCCAGACGAGATGGTCGGCAAAATATGTGGCTGTGAAAGTCCTTCAAATCAATTTACCGGAAGTACAAAATATTTAAAAGAAATTAAAGATATTTCTCTTGATGCGAAATCAAAGCACGAGGTAGGACATCTGGTACGTGCTGTGAAAAATTTTGAATTTACTATCAACGTGAAAATTCGAGCTAATATTTTCCAGAATTCAATCGAGCAAATATAGAAGTTCAAAAGGAGTTCCTCTTCCGCGTTTTGTCTAGTTGACGAAAAAACTGACCAAAACTGAGGAATTATAAGAAATGAGAGAAAATTTTTATGGAATATTGGATACAAGAGTCTAAAACAGTAGCCAAAAAAATTGCATTTGAGTCTTCTGACAAAGAAAGAATTCCAAAGCACAAAAAGCAATCTGATGAACTGTTTGAGGATGAATCACGAACACTTCAACCTGTTCAGATCGAAGTTTCAGCAAATTAAAACATATTAAAAAATATCTACGATCATCGGTGAGCTAGGAGCGTTTATCAAGTTTCGCGATTTTGACAACCGAAAATCAAACCGCAAATCAAATTATGACGATTCCATGCACTTAGTTGCAGAACAAAAGGCTTACAGAGTAAAATTTTAATTTTAGTTACTAATTCCGTGATATTTTAATAGCGTTAAGGTAGGTAAGAACTTAAAATTACTTATGAAATAGGAAGTATTCCTACTTCCTATATTGACATTGCAGCATAGAAAGAGAGATAAACAAGACAGGAAGCACGAATACTTTCAATAATATCCCATATTTTGTATGCAATGGCCCCATTAGTGGCTGAGCAATAAAAGCCGCTGAGCACTAGTAGTTCGGTCCGAGGGTCAAGTATATGTGAACGTGCTGAATGTATGAGAATTTTTGTGAAATTCCCCGTGTGTAACATAGAGACGAGCCAGTTTCCCTTACAAATTTTTTTCCACGGGGCGTTCCTCCTTTTCTATGCAGTGCCTAATGGCGAAACACATAATAAATAATCAGACAAATCCCCTGAATACTGGTAGTTCGACCTTGCCTGGGTCAAACCCAGGAGAATGGGCTGGCTGCATGGTTTGTTTTCGTGGATTTCCTCATGTGTAACGTGAATACGAGCCAGTTTCATTTAACAAGTTCCTACACGAGAGCACCTCTCCTCTAAGCAGATAACCATTCTGTTATGATACTATTAGTCATATTTTGCTATATTCATATAATCTAACCTAA